CGAGGACGAGGACGAGGACGACGACGACCGCGACGACGAAGGTGGCGCGTCAGTAGTGAGCCTGGAAGGGGGGAGAACTTCGCCTCGGATGATGACGGTCCTCCTGAAAAGAGGCAGTCGTTTTGAGGCTGTCGTGCAAGGAGGTACACGATCCCCTCGGCGGCACCCGCGACGACCCCATGGCGCACGTGGTTTAAGAAATTGTTTCGCACCCCGCGGGATCTGTTCATCAGCCCCGGGGGGGGCATCCTTGGTGGATCACATGCTGGCATTCGGGTCGGTCGGGCGACAGGCGGGCATACTCTGAGAGAGCGTGCATACGCACATCAGATACACAGTCACCAACGAGCTTGCGGGGTCTGGAAGGGCGCCGCAGACCGCACCAGACGTGAACCCGCCCGCCTGGACAGTCTGGAGGCTGCTGTTCCACATTTGGCCGAACGCCATACTCAAAAGGGTGCCTCCTGGACCTACCATGGCCAGGCCCCACCCGCACGGCCCATATCCCGAACGACTGCTTTCGGGCAGGATCTGTCCAGGGCAACCTCACCCCAGAGGTCTCTTGCGTCCTCAGGGGGGCAATCGATGCCCTCAGCCACGACACCTTCGGGGAGAGCATTCTGAAGCTGAATCTCTCGGGGCTCCCCCCGTAGTTGGCCAGTGGGGAGGGGAGACGTCGTCCTGAGGGCGGGTGGACACACCGGAAACCGTGGAGAACTTGTTCGCGGCTTCGGGATTGTTTCAGTAGACAAGCGCGTTCCACTAATTACTCGCAAAGAAACTACTCGCAAATGCCCTGGGTCCGCCGAGGGGACTTTGCGGTCCATTACATCGAGGCAGGCGTTTGTTTTTGTTTTGACGCTTGCGAGGAGGCACGTTGCGAGTAGTGGAACGCGCTCGGTGGTTCACACAGCTTCGAGGACCCGAGAAGGAGACACGTCTGGGAATAGCAGGAGTGAAGGGGCCCTGGGACACACAAATAAATAGGCACTAATAACCGGATTTCCCAAATTTTCCCATACTTTCTGGGTTTTGTCTTCCCCCCCACTTCCCATATTTCCCCATATGCTCTGGGGAATCGACGATGAATTGTGTCTGTGTGTTTTGATTCCCTCCCGAAGGAGGGAAGCAGGGAAGGAGGCAGGGAGCGGAGAGTGGAGCGGAGAGGCCGCTGGGCAGGCCGGGTGCGGCCGCGCCACGTCTGCGAACCTACGGTCAACCTGTACAATAAGGACGCACGATAAGGATGCAGGGGCCTCGGAAGGCCACACCGAAGCTTTTCGAGCGGGGTGCGGCCAACGAAAGTGGCCGGGATGGACCGAGGAGGCAAGGATGCAAGGGTACCCTTGGGAAGGTTGCCCATCCTTACTATATGGGTTGACTGTACGGTAGGTTTGCGCCGTGTCGACTGGCGGCGACCCCGCCGTCGGCGTTCAACGTTGAACGCCGCCGGCGGTACAGAATCGGTCGAGGTTGAACGATCTGACGTTTCGGAAACGGCCGATCCTTCAAGGTTGAACGATCCCCGCGGTGACAGGAATCAACGATGGGGTCGGCACGACACAAACCCGCGGTACACCTCCCACCCATGTCTTCTGATTGCCCTGAATGTATCTTCGATCCGCCGAGCAGGGTGCCCTAGAGGACCTTGATCCCCCCGAATGGCAGCCACAAGGCTTGACGCGTCATCTGCTGTACAATCGGCAAGGGTGGCCTCTTACGCATTGGAGGAGGAGCAGCGGCAGCAAGAGGAGGTAGGGGGAGGCGGAGAGGAAAGGATGGAGGCGGCAACGACGAGGAAAAGAAGGATCCAGAAGCGCGGCCCGAACCGAGACAAGAGCGCCACTCCGAAAGACGGAAGGCACGCACGTTTCCATGAATGCGACAAAAGCCGCAGCGGGAGCGCTATTGTACAGTGTGGAGGACCGAAGAAAGTCCGATAGGAATTGCAGTGAGGACGCATGTATTAGATTGCAACCAGCCTGTGGACATAATGCGTGGGAAAGTAATGCGCGGAGGAATATAATAACACTCGTCATGCGTCACGTCATGTTGGATGAATTGGGAGGTAGGCGGGAGGGGGGGAGGGAGGAGTGGAAGGAGAGGAAAAGGGGGAGAGGAAGAGAGAGGACGTAGGGGTGATGGAAACACGAGGGAGTGAGGGAGAAGGGAGGGCTCACCCTCGGACTACCTCATCACTCTGTCGTTATCAATCGTCGCTCCTGCTTATTGCTTCCTCTGCCTCCCAGCCGTCCCCTCCTGCTGTTGGCTCTGCTCTCTTCTCTTCTCTCCGCTCTGCGCCTCTCAACGAAAGCATCCATAAGCGTTCAGAATCCGTGAAAATCGTTTGGGAACCTGCGAGAACCTCCGAACACTACCAAAAACGCTCGAACTCTGGAGATAAACAACACATCATCTCTGACAACGTTCGGCAAACCCTGAGAGCGTCGAAGATCCTCCGACTCCGAAAGCTCTTAGAAGAAGGGGAACACACAAAAACAACAGCAAATTCAACAACGACAACAACTGCAACAACACCGACAACAATAACAACGACGACGACAACGACACCAGCAACATCAAAACCGACAACAATTACTTCAACAAACACAACAACAACAACAACAACAACAACAACAACAGCAACGGCAACGCCAACATCAACCACAACAACAAACGCAGCACCAACAATAACAACAACGATGCTAGCAACACGTCCACCGACACCAACGACAACACGACAGCAACAACAACAACAACAGCAGCAACAACAACAACAACAACGATAACAACAACAACACCAACCACAACAACAACAACAACAACAACAACAACAACAACAACAACAACGACACCTGCAACAATATCAAGAACAACAGCAAAACAACATAAAACAATACAACAACAATAACAGCAGCAGCAACAGCTACATTTTGTTTAAAATTGTTTGCTCTTATCTGCTCGCGTGCCATTCAACACGTGTATCCCAAACCCTCGATACCCGCGCGCTTCGTCTTCGATCGTACCCCATTGGGAGTATATCGACCTTACCTGCCGCGTGTACTTGGTGCCGCCCCTGAAGCAAGGGAAAGAGGGGACGCACGAATGGGGGAGGGAGACGACTGGAGCACGGAATTATCAGGAGGGGGGCTCGGAACCAAAAACACGTGGCAAAACCAGACGGGCAGATCGTGTGGGCAGACCCTGGCCAAGTCGAGCAGGCGGGATGATGAAGCGCACGTTCTGCATGAATCGCGAGGAAGCCTCGAGCGACAGCGCGATTCCAAAGTATATCGTAAGAAATCCCCAGCGAGAGCGTGATTCCTGAGTGTCGAAGGCGCGGGCGAGGAAACCCCACGCGAGCGCGCAATTCCTGCACACATTGTGGGCAAGTCCCCAGCGAGAGCGCGAGCCTTCAATACATTGTGAGGAAAGAAATATCAGGCGGGAGCCGTTGTTCCTGTAAGCCAGGAACCAAAAACACAATTCTGAGACCCAAGACCGTCCCTGACAAAAGGGCCCAACCCAGCTATACCTTGGGGGGTAGCGCGGTGACACCGCATGCCTGGCAAGATCTAGACGGTCACCAAACATAAGTTGCCAGGCGCGCGTTGGTCTTCAGATGTTCATGCCAAGGTGCGGGCCATGATGGAGGGATAAAGTGGGATGTGCATGGGTATTGTGCGGGAGCTGGCGCTTGCAATTCAAATTGTGGATCGCCTGAAGCATGCACTCCTTGAGTTCCCGATGCTTCTGCACCCCCTGGGATACTCCTGAGGCCTCGGTTGGCCTCCAGCGGAGCCCCGGGCAACCGAACAGGAAGGATGCCTGGACGCCGCCATCGTTTCCGTCCCCGCATGGTGCCAGCGGGGAAGGTCAGGCAAAAAAATGTTTGCCGGCCCCCCCCCGCGTGGTGCCAAACAAGGCCACCGATTTGTTGTCGGCCCCATTTTTTACAGGGTTGGCGAAAATCCGCGGTGACCGCCGGCTGGGGCTGGCAAAAATATGTTTGCCGGCCCGACAACCCTGGCACCAGAGGAATGCCACAGGCACCGAACTTGACCCAACGGCGCGGTGAGTGGCATTTCATCTCGACGGTGCTTCCGAGATTCATGCGACGCCATCTGCCCCGGTATGTGCACCCCTGCCCCCTGCCCTCGTCGTCCTTTCCCCATCCCCCATCTCTCACTCCCCCCTCCAATTGCTCCTCCCTCATCCCACTCCTCCCTTTTTCTCTTTTGATCTAACACAATTTGTATCTGGGCCTCTTCGCACCCGCCTGGCGACGTCACCACGGCCCTCAATATGGTGACGATTTGGTGCCCATCCTGTGGCCGCCTATATGATATCCTGTGGCCGTATCCAAGGTAACGCCACTTTTAGCTGGGTTGGGCCCGTCCCAAGACAAAAAAAAGGTGCGAGCCCCAGGAAACGCACTTCAATTGAAAAAGCACGATGTGCCCTGGACGGGGAGATCAACAATAATTATTATTCTGTAGTGAAGGTTCATCAACAGCAAGAACAACTACCACTACCACAACAACTACTACTACAACAACAAAAACAATAACAAAAACAAAATAAGAAAGACAACGAAAAAGACAACAACAACAACAACAACAATAATAATAATAATAGTACTAATAATAATCATAATAATAATAATGTAACAACAAGAATAACAATAATCACAACTAACTATATAAACGACCTGCTTCCCGCTTCTCCTTCCAAAGCATCACTGCTTCTTCTGCAAGGGAAACGTTAGGGGGGAGCCGGCTCAGAGGGGAAACATCGACCTGGAATCTGCCATACCTCGCCAATCGATTGGCGATAGCCCCTCGATGGCGAGGGAAAAGGTGGGCGATCGGGCCCCTTACACTGATAAATGGGCGATTAGGGGTCGATACTTCTCTCCATGAGCCTATCCCCCCTAACACTGCCCCTGAATTATGCTACCCCGGCAGCGGAGAGGGGAGAGCAGATGTTTCCGGACAGCG